TCAAGGGTTTTGTGATGAGAAAATGTTGAGGAGATGGGAGGGCAAATTTTGGGGTACAACAGTTGCCAACATTGTTCCCGTGCCTAAAAAGGACGGCAAATTAAGAATGTGCGTGGACTATAGAGATTTAAACAGGGCCAACCCTAAAGATGATTTTCCACTTCCACACATTGACATCCGGGTTGACAATACAACCCAGCACAAAGTATTTTCTTTCATGGACGGATTCTCAGGTTATAACCTTATCAAAATGGAACCTGAGGACATGGAGAAAACTACATTTGTCACACAGTAGGGTACGTTCTGCTATAAAGTGATGCTATTCGGACTGAAGAATGCCGGGGCAACCTATCAACGCGCCATGGTAGCTTTGTTTCATGATATGATACATCATGAGATAGAGGTCTACGTAGATGACATGATAGCCCAGTCACAAACTGAAGAAGAACACCTTGGTCACTTGCAAAAACTGTTTGTCAGATTGAAGGAGTACAAACTATGGTTGAACCCGAACAAGTGCACATTCGGAGTCCGGTCCGGTAAACTCTTAGGTTTCATTGTCAGCAACAAAGGCATCGAGGTTGATCCTGCCAAGGTCAAAGCGATACAAGAAATTCTTGCTCCTCGTACTGAGAAGGAAGTCAGAGGGTTCTTGGGACACCTGAACTATATTTCCAGATTCATTTCTCACCTAACATCTACTTGTGAGCCAATCTTCAAGCTGTTGAAGAAAGATCAAGTAGTCATATGGAATGATGAATGTCAGATTGCTTTCGAAAAAATCAAAGAATATTTACAAGAGCCTTCTATCTTGATGCCACCAGTAAAGGGAAGACCACTGATCATGTATCTGACCGTTTTAGAGAACTCAATGGGGTGTGTATTGGGGCAGCATGACGAGTCTGGCCGAAAAGAGCACGCTATTTATTACTTGAGCAAAAAGTTTACCGACTGTGAAACCAGATATTCACTGCTCGAGAAAACTTGCTGCGCTCTGGTATGGGCTGCTCGCCGGCTAAGACAGTATATGTTTACTCATACCACTTTGCTGATATCTAAGATGGATCCGATAAAGTACATCTTTGAGAAGCCTGCTCTGTCTGGAAGGATAGATAGATGGAAGATGATCCTAATAGCATATGACATACAGTACACGACCCAAAAATCTATAAAGGGCAGTGTGCTAGCTGACCATCTTGCTCATCAAGCTGTAGAGGATTATTAGTCCATGAAGTTTGAATTCCCGGATGAAGACATCATGACATTAGACAACTGTGAAGGAATCAAACCATATGAAGGACCTGAACAAGGATCCCGATGGACCCTGTTCTTTGATGGGGCATCCAATGCACTTGGTAACGGTATCAGCGCTATACTCATATCTCCAGAAGGATGCCATACTCCTTTTACTGCCAGACTTTACTTCAACTGTACGAACAACATGGCAGAATACGAAGCATGCATCTTTCGTCTCAAGGCTGCCATAGACTTGGGAATCAAATCTTTAGTTGTGTTTAGAGATTCAGCTTTGGTCATCAGTCAGATCAAAGGAGAATGGGACACTAAGCACCCAAACCTTATCCCTTACAAAGAACATGTTTTGACATTTCTACCACATTTTGAGCAGATTACCTTCGAGCACTTCCTACGAGAAGAAAATCAGCTAGCAGATGCTCTAGCCACAATGTCATCTATGTTTAAACTTAATTGCGATAACGAAGCTCCCCAGATTACCATTGAACGAATGGACGAACCAGCACATTGTCACGAGATTAATACTGAAGAAGTAGTGGACCACCCTTGGTTTCATGAAGTCAAAAGGTATCTCGAGGCTCAAGAATATCCAGAAGGAGCTTCAATCAATGATAAAAAGTTCCTAAGGAGATTCTCCGCTAAGTTCTTCCTAAGTAATGGCATCCTGTACAAACGTAATCATGATTCTATTATGCTTTGTTGTATGGATAAGATTGAAGCTGAAAAGATCATGGCTGAATTACATGAAGGTACCTTTGGCACTCACTCTAGTGGGCATACGATGGTGAAGAAAATCCTACGGGAAGGCTATTATTGGTCTACCATGGAAGAAGACTGCTATCAACACTCCCGGACCTGTCATAAGTGTCAAATCTATGCAGACAAGGTGCACGTACCTCCGGTCCCTCTAAATGTCTTAACATCTCCTTGGCCCTTTGCTATGTGGGGAATTGATATGATTGGGGATATCAAGCCTACAACCTCCAATGGACACCGCTTCATTCTAGTGGTCATTGATTTTTTCACAAAGTGGGTCGAAGCAGCTTCCTTCGCATCCATTACTAAGAATGTTATTGCCTGCTTCATTAAGCAGAATCTCATTTGCCAGTATGGTATCCCAGAAAGGATCATCACTGATAATGGTACAAACCTTAATAATAGTATGATCACCGCCTTGTGCGAGCAGTTCAAGATTCAACATCACAATTCATCCCCCTATCGACCAAAGAGGAATGATGTAGTTGAAGCTGATAATAAAAACATTAAAAAGATCATACAGAAAATGACAGTCACCTACAAGGACTGGCATGAGATGCTACCATTTGCTCTCCATGGGTACTGTACCACGACTCGCACATCAACTTGGGCAACACCCTATTCTTTGGTTTATGGCATGGAGGTTGTTCTACCTATTGAGGTTCAGATCCCCTCTTTAAGAATCATGAAGGATGCAGGTTTGAGTGAGGATGATTGGATTCAATCCCGACTTGATCAGTTGAACTTAATTGATGAAAAGAGACTTACTGCTGTTTGCCATGGTCAGACGTATCAAAAGCGGATGATTAAATCTTTCAACAAGAAAGTCAGACGCCAAGTGTATCAAGTTGGAGATCTAGTGATCAAGCACATCATCTTGCCACAAAGTGATCCCAGGGGCAAATGGACTCCTACCTATGAAGGACCATTTGTAATCAAGAACATCTTTTCTGGCGGGGCAATGATCTTAACCACCATGGACGATGACGACCGGCCAAACCCTGCGAACGCAGACATAGTCAAAAGATACTACACATAAGAGACCCGCTAGGTTGACACACCTAGGCAAAACAAGGGCATCCCGGCGAACCAAAAGGTTCGGGCAAAAGTTAGGGATAAAATAAAAAAATTGTACACCCGGTAAGTTGAAAACCCGAAAGGGCGACTTGGGCAAAAAAGGGTTTCCCGGTGGATCGAAAACCCGAAAGGGCGGTTCAGGCAAAAGTTAGGGAATTAAAGCGTATGACTATGTCTCGTCGGATCACTTTAAGGACAATCTCTTCACGGACAATCCCTTAAAAGAAAATAATGTTCCATAATATTATTTTTTATTTTTTATACAAAAAATACATAAAATAATAACATAGAACATTATTTTCTTTTAAATAAAAACTAGGGTTTAATCCCCTTCCAAAAATAAATATTATTCTTTTTTTTCCTTTTTTAGGATTTAGATTAAATATTTTTCTCATACAAAAACAAGACATAGAACATTTTTCTAACATGAACATATTGCATTGCATTTTAAATATTTGTCTTATATTTATTTAATTCGCGCAATATTCGATTTGGTTGTAATAATATATTTAGTTTTATATTTGTGCAAATCCCCATTCAAACTTGTATTCCCCCCTCCCATAAAAATTGTTGTAATAGCTTAGTATATTTACATTATGCAATTTATTGATTTTATACCATGATTAGTAATTAGGGTTTTGCATGATAAGAACAAAAAACAAAGCAAAATAGAAAACCCTAAATACAAGACAAAAGCATGAAAATGATACACTTTGCACACAAGCACCCTTAGGGTTTCTCCCACTTGGTTGCCTAAAACAAAATGGCCATGTTACGCATGTGAAGTATCTTGGCAAAACAAAACAAATATAAGATCATAGTCCCTTGATGAAGCTATTCAAAGGTTACCTAAACAAAATGATCTTGGTCCCTCAAAAATTCTAAGATACTTGGCAACATTGCTATCATGGTTATACGATGACCCACGCCCATCCTGTTTACATCCAACGATAGGGTTGCTTACCAAATCAATGGCAAGTCAACAATGTAAAAGGAATAAAAATGCACAAGAAATACATTTGAGTAGGTAGATAGCTTCTAAGTTACTTGCTCCATTTCAAACAACAATCCTTGTTATTTTCAAAAACAAACACACACATTTCAAAACATCTTACAAAACATTGAAAACATTTTCAAAAGACAAACATCTTTGTATACATTCTTACGAACGAGAATCATTACAAAGATTGCCTAAACAAATGGCCTCTTTTACAAAATACTTTCAAAACTACACCAAACACCATTTAAAACAAAGCAAAGCAAGTGATATAAGCAAGTAACTAAGAGCCCATGGAAAACCATGGATGAACACTACAAGAAAAATGATAGATTGGGACGGTTATTTTGGCTGATTACGACGGTTAAAACCGTCGCAATTTACAATCTACGACGGTAGAAGTACCGTCGCAGAATCGTGCGTCCCCAGCCTATTTCGCGACGGTTGCAAAAACTGTCACGCACAACAGATAGCGACGGTTATATACCGTCGTGAATTTGACTTTATTTTTTGTTTTTGTTGTTGTTTGCGACGGTTATTCTACCGCCGTAGGTTAGAAATTGCGGCGGTTTTAACCGTCGTAATCTGATTTATAAATTTCAAATAATATTTTTATTTAAATTATTATTTAGTAAAATAATTTTAAATATAATATTATTTTACTATAATATTTTACTATTATATTTAAATTATTATTTACTTTAATATTTTTTATTTATAGTATTTTTATTTTATTTTCTATCACTTTTCAACATAATAAAGTTAATTACAATAAAAACATTTAATATCAAATAATCATCAATAATATCAAAAAAATGTGATCAAAGGTAAAAAGAAGTGCAAATTTTACCAATAAACAAGAAAAATTCAAATATCATCAAAGGCCAAATTTCATTTTAATATTTACATTGGTTTGCTACAACTTGAGAGAATTACAAAAAATGTTACAATATTCTACAAAATTCATGAAATCCTGAACATCAGGTTCCAAGTCCATTTCAAGTATCTGTAGGAGAGAATCATAAATAACTTAGAAAATTGCAAAAATTGTGGAAAAGGTTAAGCCAACTGTTGACCGAAAGGTCAACAAAACATGCCTTACCATCGCCTCTATATCAGAATAATAAGGAATATCATTATCACTTTCGATATATTGCTCTTCCCCGTCTAAGTTTTCAGGAATAACCACCCGCTCTGACCTTAGAACTTCTGTAGATCCCATTTCAGCATGTTGCAATTTATTATCTACAACTGGCAAAGCTACATTTTGTTCCTGTCTCAAGCAAGAACCATTAGGTTGGACATGATCTATGAAACCATTTCCGAGGGATGGGTTCTCATGTGACAGACTTGCCACATTATTGCTTTGATGTTTTACGAAGCTAGCATTGATAAGCTTTTCCTTAGGATTTGCATGTAGAGCAGTATGAGTTTTGTTTGTTAAACTGTTGCTTCGACCTAAGCCACTGGAAGCAATAACTTCACTCCTAGACAGTGTGTTTGATGAATGGTTGTTAGGTAACTCATTTATTTTAGAACCACAAACAGGCCCTGAATTTCCTCGGCTTCCTGTTGTCTGCGAAGGCACATGACTCCTAACTCTTGTTCCTCATCCCACCATGACTCCCAACTCTTGTTTGAAGAAACACCAATACCACCTCGACTACTAATCCATTTATTCCAATCATCCCAGTCCTCAACTATCTTCTGCCATTAAAATCCTGATGGATTGAAAAGGAAAGGAGCAAACAACCAAGAGCTAACCAAAAACCACATTGACCATGACAGAAATGCGTATGCTGCTGAGTCAGTTGTTGCTGATCCATAAATCATATAACAAATGAGCAATATTGTGAGCTCAATCCCTTTGACAAAGTGACTCCTAGAGTACATCCTGTAATTGTCTGCAAACTTTTCATGACGAACGACAAATCCATGCCCAGTTGCTCTGTACTTTGCCCCTCCATGCAGGAGAGTGCGCCCAAAATAGTGCATTTTCATTCCAAGCGAGAAAGTAAAGAAAACAGGTGCCAGCTGTAACTGCATTATTATTATGCAGGCGAGCACATGAAGATTAAAAAAATAAAATGTACATTTTATAATGGTAAAGTAGAAAGAGAAAGAACGTAGGATAGTTACGATTTCTATGGAGTGTGGATCAGAAGAGAGGCCTTCCTCAGAGGCAAGGGAGAGAGCAAGGTCACGAACCCTCCAAACATGCACTGCATCGTGAGAAGCATCATTCCCTTTCATTGCTTTCTCAACCAACGCCTCAGCTTTTCTTACCCTCTCTTTCCTCTCCATCTCCATCCTCTCTCTAGTTCCAGGAACTGCAGTTGCGCACCTCACTCGGCCAATATATTTTCTTCTACTATCTTTGCAAAATAAAAATCTGCACCCTAGTCCATGAAACAATTAGAGCTTTCAATTTATCACACTCAACACCGGCCCAATGTGTTTCAAAGTCGTCAAAAACAAGACCAAAAGCTTGTTTCAAAATGTGTACAGAATAGTGAGGAAAATACAGTTCAGTGACATACTTGAATTCACAGTAAGGTTGTTAGTTTTCCTGAGTATGTCAATGTTTCTCACTCCAGTCAACAATAATGCAACTCTAGTATCCTGAATCAAAATCAAAATCAAAAGTGTCTCAGGATTTTATTCTACTGTAATATATATATATAATAAAGTATAAGTATTAAAATGTAAAGTTAAGGATTCCTCTGTACTTCTGTGTCATAAAGTAACATAAATTATATTTAAACAGATTTTTTTAATCATTATTGATAAAGTAGAGGATTTTATTCCACTGTTATGATATCAAGTGGCATAAATTATATTAAAAATTGTAGTTAATGTTGATTTGATATATTAGAATATTATTAAAAAATGTTGTTGAAATAATAGATAATGTATACAATGATATTCTTATACAATATATTATACAAAACATTAAAGTATTTGATTAATTTAAGATTTTCAAAGAATATTGTATAGTTCAAAACATTAAAGTACTTAATTAATTTAAAATTTTCAAAGAATATTGTATAGTTCGGATGTTATGAACACATATAAGTCATAACTTGAGATAGCAATTCAAACTAAATGTCACACAAATGAAATTTAAAATAGATCATCTCCTTTTTCACAAGCATGTCTTTTTGTTCATTTAATTTACTGATTGTCTCTCTGAAAAACATAACAGTTGCATCTTTTAATTTTCTAATTGTATCGTCTCATATATCCACCGCAGTTACAATTGTAACACCGCAACCACAACGATAATAATTACAATTATAATTCTACAACCACAATGCATGTAATGCCGCAACCTCAATTGTAATTTTACAATTGTAATGGAAGCAATCTCTACAAAAATAATTATCACATAAATTATTATAACTTACAACTATCAGAAAAAACAATAATGATTTTATCACAAGATTCAAAGAAAAATTTCAAAAACATAAAAAATTGTTCATTTTTACATGATTAAAGTGTGTCAACACCAAAAAAATTATAACATGTCCATTTTGTAACAACAGTGGCCCTTATCAGGTAGTAAAAGCATCAAAACTTTCACATCACCAGCATGAACAATTATATTATATGAATGACCACCATCTCTTATCTGCTCTTTATTAACTGTGATTGTGTAAATCACAGTTAGTAACAACTGAGTCATCCAATTGTAGAGTTTCTTTAGAAAACATAAAATTAAAACCTTATTATGTTTCAATTCGATAGGGCAACTTACATAAACATTCAGATAAACAACAAATTCCAAGCAAAACAAGCATAGCAAAAGTGATTTTACCTTACAGACAGCAAACATAAAAGTAGCACCGCAACAGAGCCTACAAAACGCAGATATGGTTAAACTCTAAGCCCATTCAACCACATTTCTTAACACAAATAAAATAAAAGGTCATGTGAAACAAATTGTTAAGTTTAATTCAGTGGAAAACTATAATCAGAATATTTCATGATTAAGAATATGCAGAGAATGAGTTGAAGTTTTAATTAAGTAAGAAAATAGAAAAGATAATGCGTACAACATAGGAGTGGAACAGAAGGTTGACGGAGAAGCACACCGGCGCTATGAACGACGGCAGGAACTGCTAGCGGGATTAAGCTTTCGGTGTTGTTCTGTTTGATTTGTGTTTAAGACCTTTTAATTATTGAAAACCACATTCAACTCAAAAAGTAAAATCAGAAGCCATACTGTGTATCTCCAACGTCTTTAACAAGACTATTCTGAGATGAATCACCAGCTTTCTTCAAAGTATCACCGACCATAATTATTCTGGACTTCTCCGCATTACCCTACAATAACAACAACACAAATCACAAACCTTCGTCGGTTTATCAAAATGAACCTCAATGAACCTTCATCGATTTATTACTTGAATATATTAAGAAGCTGCTGATATTCAGAATCCCCCGGAAACAAAGCATGTCTCCTCACCATTTCAGCTGCATAAACAAACAAACAATCAATCAATCAATCAATTACATTTCCATCATTAATAGAGAAAGAAAAGTATCCAAATCACAAAAACCGTCTTAAGAGATTCACGATATTCTCCCTCATGAAAATAATCCCCAACTCAATTCCATTCAATTTGATTCCTAAAGTCATATTTGGGATGCAATCCAACTCAACCGAAATCATGAAATACTTTAAGGCACCTTAGGTATTATCAATAGCAGATCAAAAATTTTCATTTGAGTTCCGCTACACATCACTGCCGCGAATCCACCTAATTTTACACAAAACCCTAACAATTTGTTCAAATTATACTATGTAGTGCAACAATTCTACTATGAGATCCAAAACCCTAATTATGGTAAATTAGCAGCAACAACAAGAAGAAGTAGAAAAAAGAATTGAAATCGAGAGAATGACGTACCAAAGATACATCCAACAGATGGAGGGAGTGGATGGAGGTTGAAATGAAGAGAAGACATGGTTGTGGTGGAAGCTGGTGATGTCGGGCAGCGACGAGAAGAGAAAAAAGGAGAAGCTTTTGGACCTGTTATGTTCTTTTGTTAGAAAATCTTTTAATTTTTTTATATTAATTTAATTTGATAAATATATAAATATATTATATTATTATCACTTTTTGTAGTGTACGGGGCGACGGTTGTTATACCGTCGTGATGTGTATTTTATGGCGGTTTGTTAACCGTCGCGACATTGATTTTAGGACGGTTTAATAAAAAACTGTCGCAATATTTAATAATTTTTTAAATATATAAGGACGATTGGTGTATACCATCGTGAAATGTGTCTCTATATTAGAATTACAACGGTTATCAAGTAACTGTCGCAATTTTTGTGTCGTAAAATCCTAATTTTCTTGTAGTGGAAAAGGGTGCTAGCACCTTCCCTTTTCATAATCTACCCCCCGAACTCAATAAAACGTCTCAAAGGTCTTTCCTGTGCTTTTTTACCTTTCCTTTTGGATAAAATAAAAGTCGGTGGCGGCTCTTACTAACCGCGACATTTGCGATAAAACGCAAAACCTCAAGCCAGTTCTCCCACCGTATCACAACTTGTTTTGGAAAGATTTGGTGCAAGGATTAAATCATGGATCAATCTTCATAATTGGAAAAGATTTGATACAAACTGTAACCCTAATGCACTCTACTATACATAAGGAACAAAAGCAGACCAAAAGAAAAGGCTAGAGGAGTGCAAAGACAGAGAACAAATTGAAAAAACTCAAGAAAAAAGTTCAAATTAATTTCCAAGTTTCAGGCCATCTCAAGCCATTCTAACCATACCAATCAATTGCTGGACTCCCCAGGATCATGTTTCAATCATTAGCAAGCTTCCCCACGCCTTGAAACGCATCGTAGCAGTCACACGGTTTGCATATTTTCTTGAATTCAAATATATTAATTCTAGCATATTTAGCATGATTAATTGGCATATTTATAATCCTTGAGATGTTTGCAAGCTAATGACTATATTCAATTGCATTTTTATTAACTGAACATGAAAGTACCATGGCTAGGGTTCGTGCTTTATTTTTAGGGGTTTCTTGTACAGGGAAAATTGGACATTAATAATGGTTCCATGATGTTTGTGAGGTTGAAATGAGTTGATTGGTACCATTGGTTTTCATTTATCATGCGTGTACAAGATTTTGGAAATGCACAGGGGCTATACCTACGCTTGATGTCCGTAGGTAAAAGTCTTTTACCTAAAACGACAGAATCAATGAAGAAGACAATGGTGTGGCAGTGCGTGAATGGTCAATTTGAATTTCACGCGTTTTGGGAGGCGTGGCACGTTGTTTTCATTATAGTTTATTTGTTTAATTATTATTACAACTAACATGATAGCGTGGATGGTGAGGATGCTGGCCTTTGATGCACACGTCCTGGGTTCGATCCCAGGCGTGTGCATTTTATTTTCTCAATATTTTCATGGCAATCCAGTGCTTCACCTTCTCAAGCATATTCCATACGCTCTCAACATCAGCAATTTGATGTGCTCCTGGCCAGATCCAAGGCTTATCCCTTGAGGGTCCACCATGCGCCTGAGTCAAGCATGTACACAGGATTTGGCAAAGTCAAAAAGGGCCATGAATATTTGGGCCAAGAGATTAGATTCACACCCCCTTGTAAAACAACACCATGCCCATTTTTCTTTCTTTTCTATTTATTTCTTTTATTTAATTTAATTTGCTTAATTATTTTTTAACCAAAATTAATTTCTTTTTCATAAAATCATAAAATCAAGAGTTTCACAAAAATTAGAATTAGGTTTTTATTTTATCAAATTTAATATAATTTAGTTTGATTTAGTTTAGGGAAATCCTAATCTTTTTTTTTAAATAAAACCAATTAGAAAAAATTAGGGTTAAACTTGTGATTTAATTTTTTTTATTTCTTTCTCAAAAAATAAAAATACAAAAATAGGTTAATTTAATTATTTTTCTTAAATTAAAATTAATTAAGTAATTAGGTTTTGTTATTATCATTCAATTGGGCTTTATTTTCTCAAATAACACAAAAACAACAAAAAATGATTTTCCCTTTAATTGACAATTAGGTATTGTTGGGGTCAAAAAATTATTTCTCGCAAATATTTACTGTTTAGATGTATGTTGATAGGATTTTATGACAAGATTGCTTGATAATTTAAAACGGCTAGAAAACCCTAATGTGCAAAGATAATAACTGAAATTAAATCACTCGCACATGCGCACTCTTAGGGTATACTATCACTTCGGTTGCCTTCAGTAAACGATCATTAAGTATAGGGTGTCTTAGTGGTTTCCCTCCTGTCTAACAAAGATCAAAAGTCCCGTTCAGAAACGTCTCCTCGGAAATGTTGCCTCGGAAATGTTGCCTCGAATATGATCTTAAGACTCTAGGGTTGTTACTAAGACATCCTAATATTGCTTTAGTGATCGTACTCCCCTTCGAATTGACCCTTACAATTTCAACGATGGTGCTACCTATTTCTCAATAGTAGGATAGCGTTGTCTAAAAGAAACGAGAACATAAACAATATTTTTTTCGAGTAGGTAGATAACTGTTAGGTACTTGCTCAAAACAACAAATCTTTTACACCATACACTTTCAAACAAACTTTTCAAACTAAAGTTTTTAAAACACTTCGTAACACTCTTGGGGACAGAAACAAGGGTTAAAACGAAGTAAAACCAAACTTTTCAAAACAAGCACATACAAGCAATTTTAAAAGATAAGCAAGTACCTAAGAGCCCATGGAAAACCATGGATAGAAAGGGTGCTAACACATTCCCTTTCTATAATCTACCCCCCGTACTCAGAATATCTCGAAAAATGAATTTTTCTATGCTTTTTTCCTTTCCGGTTGGATGAAATAAAAGTCGATGGCGACTCTTGCTTACCGTGACATTTTGCGAACATAAAATGCAAACCAGCATAATCAAAATAGTCAGTTCTGCCACCGAATCACAGAACTGGCGACTCTGTTGGGAAAAAATAAGTGGGGTATACCTTAGGATCTATTTCATCATGATTGCTTCTTTTATTTGTTTTGGTTGCTTTACTTTTAAGGGTTTTGTTTGGGAGTTACTATAGATCGTAACCCGGATCTGGGGACACCTTTTAGGTAAGTAGAAATAAATTATGAGGGAACTGTACGGTGTAGACCGGTACGGTTGAAGTAGTAGCTACGTTGATGTGGCACATTGGTTGGTACCGGTATCCCTTGTGGAGAAACGAGGAGAATACAGGGCCGCTGCATGGTGTCGTTATGCATCAACTGACCTTAGAACCTTTAATCGACCTACTTGGCCATTAGAAAGTAGTGAGATAGCCGGCCTCGGTGTAAAGCTGAGAACTAGTTGATACTCGATGTTACACTCATTGAGACCATACTCTCGAGATAGTTCCGGCTGCAAGAAAAGATTGCGTGAGCTAAAACCATGATCGATGGAGGATGGTCAGTGATATTGAGAACCTCTAGAACCCGGTTGCTTTTGCTAGGACAGGTTGGAACCAACTGAACTTCAAGAGGGTACTGCCTTTGACCCCATGCAAGCCTTAACTTAAGGGCTTTGTGTGACTTATTTGCCTTTGCCATGCCTGTTATCTGCTATACCTGTTATTGTTTTTATCATGACATCATGCATCATAACATGGTGTAGCGGTAGAAATGTTCAAGACTAAGCCATTGGATTGACTAGACTTTATACAAATCAAAATAAAAATCACCACCGCACTTTATTGTTTCCAAAGGAATGGGAAAAGAACGAATAACCCAAAAAAAGGGGGAAAGATTCAAGGTAAGGGGGTTGGTTATGCAAAGGGAAGGTATTAGCACCCTAAACATCTACGGTACTCCGCAGGAACCTCTTTAAAAAATTTGTATATTTTGGCTATTAAAATGTGTTGTATATAAAATGGATGGTGGAGGTGAGAAAAGAAATATTTTTATGATTTTTACACCCGCCACGGTTGCGAACCTTTAGTGCCTATGTACCACCTTTCGTGCAATAGGGGATCAGGGTACACGTAGTTCCTCTTTTAAAAATTTGAAACACAAGTGTGTTGGTTAATTTTATGAGATAAGACATCATCGTTATTGTCCGTGTGGAAAACATACTTACTACCTACAATTATGAGAAAGGAGAATTGGCATCATCTCAAAGTGGAAGATATGGCTTGGATTTTAAAATCAATAATGCCTCACTCAACACCCAAGTGGAAAATATCTCTGTTCACTATATATTATATAAGTATAGTTGTTTGCATCACTACAAGGATTGACAAGAGTCTAATCTTTTAAGAAAAGTTTTAAAATAAAAAGCCAAAGTGGAAAAATGGTTTGAAATGAGATTGATTGACTTTTAGTCTTTTCACAAAAATGTCAAGGTATTATTAAATTGATTGAAGTTTATTTATGAAAATGTTTTGAAAATGCATGGACCTAAGTCCAATATTATTATGAAAGTGTTTCAAATTTAGAAATAAGAAGAGTTTTTAAAAGGAGGGAGAAGATTTTTGAAATTAAAGAAGATGGGAGGAGAAGAAGAGACTATCCTAAAGCATAAGGTAAAAGCTAGGGATAAGAACCATCTAACCAACAAGAAGCCAATACTTGACATTATGAGTCAATATAGAATTCCCATTATTTGGATTGAAACCAAGCAAGCAAAAATACTAGACCTCTTCAGAGAACCAAACTTCAAGTGTATTAAGTCTTCGCAAAAATTGGGCAGAGTAACGGCTGTATACAGGTGAATTCTAGATTACAAACAAAGTATGTAATCACAATAACCTGCACACAAAACAAACAACCAACCCAATGTCTTGAAGTAAACTTCAAGAACTCCAGACAAAATATCAAATAAAATCACAAAGTCTCCAAGATAGGCCAAGGTCTCTAATCCTAAGTCCAAGAAGTCCAATACTCTATAATGCCAAGGATAGTAACCAAATAGTCCAAGTATCATTAAAGATTT